GTAAACCTTGTGTTGCCAGCCTTTTGACAGATGCTCTCTAAGTGATTAATGTGGGTGCACAGCTGTGCAGGCTCTGACTCACAGGCATTAATGTAATAGCAGTGTCAGATGTGACAGGCAGAGGTGGAGGTCCTTGTGCCCTGAGCTGCCCTTGGGACTCCTGCAGCCCCATCCTCTGCATCCCTCCTGCAGAAGGCTGAAGACAGAGGTGTTTTCATCCCTGCCCTAATGTGTCTAGGTCCCATGTCTGCAGAGCCTGGGCTCAGAGACACCAACTCTGGATATAAACACTGTGCTGTAGCCCTAGACCAGATGTCCACTGCATCCATGCCACCCCAACAGCACCCACCCCACTCTCCACACAGGACCACTTTTCAAGTGTGAATCAAATTAACCTCTATGCTGTGCTGCTGGTCACAATTTTTCCAAATGCTTGCAAACTGTTTGTTTAGTAATCTCTCCTACATTTCCCCAGAGGAGATCACCAAATTTAATAAGTACATAATCTTGGGATTTTCTTTCTCTTCTTTTGAGACTTTGTATAGCATTCACTGCTCTGACCTGTGGAAGCGTTTTCTGATCCTCAAGTGCTTTCCACGACTGCAAGCATTAAAAATGTGTAATAACACAAGGTCTTCTTGCCTAGTAGATAAACAATATGGAGTTCAAGTGCTGTTCTGACATCCACTTTTCTTAATAAGGTTGATTGTATTAGTAATGATTCTTATTTTGCTATTTATTTTCTTTCAAATGTAAAAAAAAATATTGTTCACAACACTATCCAAAATCTTATGATGCTTTTTATTTTTTAGCCTTTGCAAAATCGATTTCCAAGCTCATATTTATTTTGGAAGTATTTCATGGATATGCTTCCCATTTGTGAGATAAAATATTCACCTTAGTGTGGAACATATGAAAACATTTACTGTGTACCCAGACTTTATATTGCCTAGTGAAAGATGGTTTTTAAATTAGGTTAAAGTACAGATGGATTAATAAGGAAGAGAGACATTGTGGAATAAAGATGTTAGTCAGCTGGGACTGGTGCAGCATGGTGTAAAAATAAGTATTTGTGTTCTCACAGATCTGGAGATTGAAAAGTGCTGCATAAAGCTTGTATTAGGGTTTGATTTCCATCAAGGGTTCTCTTCCTCTTTTGAAGAAAGCTACCATTTGACTGGATGTGATGGTATATGCCTGTTACCACAATACCTAGTAGCCAAGGCAAGAGGATTGGCTCAAGTTCAAGGGAAACTTGAGCTACATAGTGAGTTCAAGGCCAACCTGAAATACATAGTTAGATCCTGTCTCAAAAATTAAAAAAGGCCACAGATTATTTCTCTGAGTCCTCACCTGATGAAAGAGGTGTGGGGGGTATTACTCTTCTTCAAAGGCTGCAGGTCTGCCTGATGGAGGCCTCATCTACACCTCCTATAACATATGTGACCTCCTGAAGTTCCCCAGATGCAGTCACCCTGGGGGTGAGGGCTTCACTGTATGAATTGTTGGTGTTTTTAAATGGATTTTATTGGTGTACTTTAGATATGCATAGTGATCACATTCATCACAGGAAATCTGTACCTGTATATAAAATATCTTGATTCTTCTCTTTTCCTGATTCTCCTCTCCTCCCTTCAAGCCTTCCTCCTATGCTTTTTACAAAAGATTTGCTTCAATCCTTTCTTCTATTCTCCTTTTTTCTTTCTCCTTTCTTTCCCTTCCTCTTCCCCCTCCTTTGTTCCCTGTCCCATTTGAGCATTTTCTTCCTACTTCCAAATACCTATTAGCAACTTTGGTCCCTATTTATGCTTTTGGTTTCTCACACAAGACAAACAATATGATATTTAAATGTGTTTCCATTTACCTAAAAATGTCTCCTTTATCCTTCTTTATGGCACAGTGGTACTCCATTGTATATAATAACCACATTTTCCTTATCCATTCACCTATTGATGGGCATCTGTGCTGTTTCTAATATTTAGCTATTATACTTTGTGTTACTATAAAGATGGGTGTGCATAAATCGCTGATACCTAGAAGGTGAACAGGTGGCTCAAATGGAACCTCTAGTTTTAGTTTTTTGAGGAATCTCCATGCAGATTTCCAAAGTAGTTGCATCAGTCTAAATTCTCACCAACAGTGGGAAGGGTTCCTTTTTCCCCACAGCCTCACCAGCATTTGTTTTTGGTTGATTTCTTGATAACTGCTATTCTTTATTGGATTCACCATAAGAATAGTGGAGATGCAAAGAGCTCAGCAGGAGATGACAATGTAATGTTTGTATAAAGTTAGTCTGCTACTTCAGATGGACAGATGTCCATGAGGAGCAGCAGAGTACCAAGGGGAATAACACACAACCATGAAAACAGTGGTGTGCTCAGGTATTGATGCCAGACACTTAAGGCACAATGCTGTCTCACAGCAAATCTGCCCTTTGCAGTGCTAGCACCTAAGCATAGGAGCCAAAAGCTACTTCCTGCCTCAGGGAACTGTGAATCAGCCACAAAAGGGGACTATCCTTGGGAGTGTAAGAACATTCTGAAGTGCAAAGTTTCTTTTAACTAACCACTAAGCCAGCCAGTTATATATGTAAATGAATAGATGTAAAAACATTAAAAAGTAAAATGTCTAAAGCTGATGTATGTGTTGTTGAGAGATTCCTGTGGATCCACAGAGTTCCAGGGCTGTGGGTAATACAGCAAATGTGCTCATCCTAACAGGACCCGGGTTGAGGCTCAGGAAGCCAACATGCAACATGTGCATTGAGACTGTCCACTAAAACATTCAAGGCTCCAATGTGGTAAGAGGGTCCTTTACACACTAGAGCTGGAGCTGTGATATGAAGATCACTATGCCCAGGGACATGAGAGCTAACTGGGACATAAGCACAAACCATTCAGGGGCATGTGTCCTCCATGGGCTGCTCAGCACTGCATACCCTCTGAAGTGTCAGTGCTCTGGGTCCCAGCTGGGGACCCTGATTCTTTCAGATGGGAGGAAGGTAACCCTGAGCAGGGAAGGATGGAAGTGCATCACAGGCACTGGAAGACAGATGCAGAGGTCCCTGTCATGCATCCCAGATCCAGGGAAGTGAGCTCCAGGACAGGGACAAGTTGCACCTTCTCCTGCAATTTCAATTCTCCCTGTTCCCACATGAGAGCCCAAATTTGAAGATAAGGTATCTAAAAGCACTACACATGTGGAAGAAAGGCTCATAAATGGTACAAGGAATTAGTTCAAAGAAATAAGTTCTAATGTCTCCTGCCCATCAGGGTGACTACAGATTACTGTATATACTGTATATTTCTAGGAGATAGAACATTGATGTGAGTGTTTTTACCACCAAGACATAAGAAGTGTGTGAGGAGGTAGATATTCTTGCCCTGCTTGATCATTATAAGATGGTGTGCAGTTTTCTTGTCAAAAGAAAAAAGACTCATGGCACATGCCCAGAGGAGGCAGAGATTCAGAAAGACCTAGGAGAGGCTTACCACACCCCATCTGCTGCCCAGGACACAGATGACCCAAAGCAAGGAAGCTACAATCATAAGAAACAAACGGGACAAATCACAAACCAAGGGAAGGAGAGATATGCATTTCCCATTTTTAGATTTAAATGTGTAATTTTCAACAATCTAATGAGATCTATAAAGACATAGGAGAGTATGACCTATTCAAATGAAAGCTAAAGGAACCAACAGGAAGAAACCCTGAATGAGACCTGCTGGAGGATCTACCAGACCAACACTTTCAAACACTGATCTTTAAGATGCCCAGAGAATTGAAGGAGAGAAGGAGAAAGTCAGGAAATCAAGGTAGAGAATCTGCTCACTCAGGAAGAGTGTGCTCCACACCAACCAATAGGGGGCACCAAACCCACTGTCCAGTGTGGGAGCTCCTCAGGGCACATGGCTATAACATTGGTTAATACTTAAGCAGGCACAGGAAGACACTAGGAATGATGATGCTTATGCAATTCATATTCTCTGGGGCCCTCTTTGGGGCCTGGAGCCCTGTTACACAATGTCTGGCTTCCAGCCTCCCACTGAAATGCTGCTAGATGTGTTAATGACTCAAGCCTGCAATTCTCATACCTGCAAAGGAAGCACTATGTTGATGAAACCAAGGACTTACACCACCATCAGCAGTAGCCAGGGCCCCTTGGACGATGGCTGCTATGACCTCTGAGTGCCTGAATGGCTGAGCATGGAGAAATGAATCTCAGAGAACCAATCCTCTAGGCAAACCTAATCAAGGACAGCACTCAGAGGTCCTCTTCCCAAATGAAATATTTATGCTATGTATACTTGACCCTATGTAGGTGGGGCCATGCTTTTTCCTAAGATGCCTTCAGAACGTCTCTTATCTTGTCCCTTTGTAAAGAACTTGGCTTCATCAATTGCACTAATCTCTGCAGCAACCATAACTTACTTGACCCCTAGCTTGTGAAATCCTTCTCTTCACCTCTCTGCTCTTGATTCTCACTGTTAACCTGGCTGAAAGCATGGAGCATTGCCCATGCTATAGCCTGAATGCTATTATTTGTGAAATTTTCTGGGTCACACTTATTAGTCTGTCATCTTTAAACTCAGCCTTCCACAATGTCTTGGAGGATAGACAAAATTCAGACAAGTGCTTTGTCAACCTGTAATATGAAAGGACTCTGGACCAATTGCCAAGACAATACATGTTTCTTTCTGAAAATTCATCAACACAGACTTTAGTAATTGCATTCTAGTAGCATATCAGTCTCCTGAGGTCACACTAAAATCATCCTCTCTAGGACATTTCAGCTCCATCTGTATTTCAAAGTCAAGGTATAGGTAATAATTATATAGCAGCAGTGTGATATTTGAGTACATCTCATAATATTGATGGGAATCATCCCGATATCAAAATGAAAGATATGAGAATTTCCCATAGGACTATAGAAATAGAAACGTAAATTTTATCTTCAACCTTGTCTCTTTCCTTCCAGCCATATATTAGAGACAGATAGTATGCAAAGAGAAAATGCAAATTTTCCCAACGCTTTTGTCCTGCTGGGCTTCTCAGAGTTTATGTGGATGGAGAGACCCCTCTCTGCAGTGGTCCTGGTCTCCTACATCCTCACCCTGGTGGGGAACAGCTCCATGATCTTCCTCTTCCTGGTGGAGCCCACACTACAGATGCCCAGGTACTTCTTCCTGAACAACCTCTCTCTGCTGGACCTCTGTATCATCTGCACTATTGTCACTCAGCTGCTGGCCAACCTGTGGGGATCAGACAAGACAATTGCTGCCTGGGGATGCATCACACAGCTCTATGTTTATACCTTGGCAGGTTGCACTGAATGGATCTTGCCGGCCATGATCACCATTGATCACTATGTAGCCATCTGCCAACACCTCCAGTACAATCTCATCATGCATCCCTGGATTTGTGTACAGATGGCAGCTGCCTCTTTGTCCAGTGGCCTGGCCAATTCTCTGGTCCAAGCCACACTCACCATCCAGCTCCCCCTCTGTGGGTATCACACCCTAGATGACTTCTGTGAGGTGTCTCTGCTCACCAAACTAGCCTGTGGGAACACCACTCCTAATGACATTGCCCTGGTTGTAGGAGCCATCCCACTTGGAATGATGTCTCTCCTGATGGTGATCATCTCCTACATCTTTATTGCTGGAGCTATATAGAATCTACCTTCAGCTGAAGGAAGGCACAAATCACTCAGCACTTGCACTTCCCACTTGCTGTTGGTCACCATGTACTTTGGACCAGGCATTTACATGTACCTCCAGCCTACAGCCAAGAGCACACATGCCAAGTTCATGTCCTTCTACTGCATTATCACCCCAGTGCTCAACCCACTTATTTACACCCTGAGAAACAAGGATGTGAAGACAGCATTGAAGAGGATCCTGCAATCCCAGGGCAAGGTGAAGTCTTGGAGATTCAGGATATCTCTGCCTATATTCTGAGCAACTACATGCACACAACCATGAATACTGGCATATTCTATCTGCTTTTCCAAACAAGTAGCTATAACTTCAAAGAAAAGGGTTCCCTTCTCCAAAAATTAATTAATATTATAGCCTGCAAAAAATTTTGTTAAGAAAGTTGTCCTCTGAAAGCATCAATAGAGTAATTGTGCTTTTTCTCAATCCTTCCCACATATTTGTAAACTACAGACACAGTGGCCAGTATGGTCCATTCACCTATAGAGAAACCTTCCAATTATTGGTGATTGCCACACCATTCCTAATAACCAAGTTGTGGAATAAAACTAAGTACCTATCAATGAGTGAAGGCAACATAAAATGTAGTATGTGTACACAAATGAATATTATTTGGACCCATATAAACTGTCATACCATGGATAGAATTGAAAAAAATTATAGTAAATGAACTAAGCTAAATACAGAAAGATAAACTAAGATAAACTACCTAGTCTCTCTTCTACATGAAGTATAAACAACTCTAAAACTAAGTTGTTGTTTGAGAAGACGAAGAAATGATCATTAGAGAATAATGTCTATGGCACACCATGTGCTTGCTTTAATACATTTTAATAAAAATCTGGACTTCAAGGTTAGGTAAATTGAATTTTGAAAAAATTATCCCAACAACTACATAAGCAGCTCCAGTCCTCATTTCCAAATGAACCAGGATTATCAAATATATTTTTCATCTGAGAGAACCTCTGTACTTTTTAATTAAATGTCTTAATCATGCATTCTTGTGACATCTCTCTCATGTTTGGATGGTAATAATAAAGCTGATATTAGCAAAGAGTTGAGGAGTAAAGGGAGGTGATGGCTGCAGTTGATGGATATGGGGGGATGAGAGGGAGCTGTCCTGAGCCTCAGGATATTCATCTCTTCAGGTAGCAGCCCGTGCCCCCTACATGCCTAAGCCCTCTGCACTTTCAGTGCTGCCTGCCACAGATGATGCCTTTTCCTAGTCTCCTGTCTTTTCCAGAGGCATTTTCACAACACAGCAATGCTCTTTAATATATGTGGCACTGAAGCAAGCACAGCAATGCTTTTTAGTAATATTCACAGTAAGAAAGTGCTTGTTTATTGTGAAGTGGAAGAAGAGTTTTTAAAAAGTGAGCAGGGCAGAGAAACTGGCTGTCAACTGATCCCTGTGTTCTCAGGCAGATCCACTTCAAAAGACCACTGGTGCATTTTACTGGCAGCAGAAGTTCCAGTCGCATCAAGAGAAAACAGAGTGCTGGGTCCAGCTAGGCCTCTGAGAATGTGAGTCTAGCACCAACCCAAGTTATCAGAACCATTACCAGGATGCTGGGCAGAACACCAAGATGCTCTAGCACATGGACTACAAGATGAGGTGCACTCTGCAATGCCAGCTCTTCATTGGTAACTTCCAGGCTGTCAACAAGCATGTGAATTTTTTCCTCTGTGACTGTGAAAGGTTCAGGCATATCAAGCCAAAGGACTCTAAACAAGCAGAAATGGCAGACTGGTCCTGCTTCAAGGGGAGAACCTGTTCTTGATGGCAGTAGAAGGACCTCCTCCAAAGATACTGGGATTGTCCAAGCACCACTTCCTGGACCTATTGGGGCCTAGGAATCTGTAGAGCTGCTGATAGAAGCATCCTCCCTGGGGTTCCCAAATCACAGGCTCCTGCAGAACTTGCTAGGCCAGTTTATGAGGTGGGTGGGCCATCCCAACCGGTAATGATCACACAAAGAAGAGGCACTGTGGCAGCTGCTGCAGCTGCTGCTACAGCTAGTATTGCAGGGGCTCTGCCCAAGTACCCACCAGTCTATGGCATCCTCCCATACCTATGGGCCAATGGGCACCTTCTCCAAGCATGATATTCTCTCCTCCTCGCAAGCAACCTCCGATGGATCCTCCAACAGGTGTCCTTACGAGATGTGGGACTCCTATGGGTATACCACCTCCAGTGATTCAGATGCTTTCTCTTTGTGAGGCCTTTAACCTTGACCACAGAGTTACGGAAGTAGCATCACAGAAGCATGGGCCAGATTACCCAGGGCCATCTTACCACAGAACTGTTTGTTTATTGCGCTGCTGTTTTCAGAGTCTCACTGAGTTGTCTGCTTTCCCTTCCACCCAGAAATCCACCTGGTATGGCCCTAGAGTCATCTTGGCACTCCTCTGGTCTCTGCTTGTTTTCTGTAAGGTTGTACATCCTCGTTTTAATTTCTTGTGCTCCATGAAACTGATTTATAATAAACTATTTTAAAAGAATATTGCAAATGCAAAAAACAGACCACAGGTGAAAACTGATTAACACTTCTGTGATGGTTAATCTTGATTATGAATTTGATTAGCTAGAGAGATGCCCATGTCCACAGCTAAACCTTTAACTGTGATTTCCTGTAAAATTCAAATAACAAATTAGAGAATCCCAAGATACATTGGCACAGAATAAATTTCCATTCCACAGGGCAGTGACAGGTAAATAGAAGGTATTTGGGCCAAATAAATTTCGGAAACTAGTAGAGCAAACATAAAGTCATGGAGTTCTATGCCTGGCATTCAGGTCATATGGTGATGAGATGTGAATTTTGGGCATCTTTCTGGCCCTATTCAATGGGCTTACAAGTTGCAGCACACACAGTCCCTCCCTTGGGCTGGCTCTGCTTTCTGCCTGATTTCCATGTTTCTGGGATTTCCAACATCGAGAGGTCTCCATTTTCAAAGATTCGCACAGTGCCCTCTAAGGGTACATTGTCTGGCTTTTCACACCTCCCTTTCAAATCTGAAAGGAAGATTTCATGATCCCACACCTCTTACTTTCTTAACTCTGAAAAGAGAAATGGGCTCATGTGGAAAATGCCAAGATCTCAAGCTAGCAATAGCCAGACCCCCTTGAAACATGGCACCTGTGGATTCTGAGTGATGGGGGCTAAACATAATGAAGTGAACCTCAGAGACCAATTCCCTACAGGTCCCTTTTCCAGCAAGGGACACAGAGTTGTATTAAACATGTAAAAGTTTATGTTTTGGCAAAGTGGAACAGCTCAGTTTTATAGCCAATTGTTACATCTCAGTGTCACAGGCAAGTGCCACAGCCCTGTAGCACAGCTGAGTGTTACAGCTGAGTGTTACAGATCTGGGTCACAGCCATTGCCATTTGAAGACTCAAGAAACTAAAGGTCCTGCCAAGAGGTGGAGAAAAACCTATTATTACACCGGCAGGCACAGAAGAGTTCATACTCCAAAGTTGAAGCCCTTCATCAGAAATGGAAGCCTCCTTATATAGGGATCTAGGAGTAGGCGAGAATGCTCATTGAAGTAGGAGGGCAGAGTTAACAGAATGTTCCTATAAGGGGGCAGAGCTAACAGAATAATCTTGAGAGGTCAGGCAGTTGAAACAGAACAGTTAAAAAGCTTTTGGATACATTGGGCTTGAGCACTGTGCAGCACAGACTGTTACATTTCTGGAACACATTTTGTGGGAAATAAAACATGGAGTCAAGGCAAGGACAAGTCAAGAATCTGTCTTATTGTGTATTATTGCTCTGTTAGTTACACTTTTGCACCCTTGAACTTGTGATAGATTAGCACTTTCTAATTCCTGAGATGCCCTCCAGGCATCTTTCTTCTGGTGCCATTCAAAGTGTTTGGTCTCTTTTTAATAATGCTAATTTTTCAATCAACTTCATATCTTCTTCCTCCTAAGGGATTGCAGAGGGGAATAATTTACTTTTTTCAAAACTTTTTGTGTACTTTTAGCTCCCAAATTTCTTTATAAAGCAACAAGCAGCACACATGACATGGCCTAGATATTGGGTAGCCTTCAAATTTCTTCTTCAAATTACTTAGGATGATTCCTTTAATCTCAGCTTAAAACAAAGCCTTAGGACATGGATAAAATGCCAACAAATTATTTGACAGAGTGTAGCACAAATGGTCTCTAGTACAATTCTAAAACAAGCCTTTATTCCCATCTGAAACTTCATGAGCCTACCCTTTCCTGTCCACATTCGTTTCAGTATTTTAATCTTCTGGGATCTGACCAGAATTATCTACCAGGCCAAGTTTGGTGGTACACACCTGTAATTCCAGCACTCTGGCTGTCAGAGACAGAAGGATCACAAAATCAAGTTCAGCCTGGGAAACTCAGGGACTTAGTGAGACCATGTCTCATAATAAAAATGTTAAAAGGCCAGGAGATGAAGCTCAATGTGAAAACCCTGGATTCAGCCTTTAATATCAGGGAAAAAAAAGAATTTGCTGCTAGGCTATTCCTACAAAATTCAAGGTCCAATGTATTGTGGTTCTACAAATGTTTGAAAACACAATCCAAGCCTTGTGAATGACTTTGTCAGTGATAGGCACACCAATGGTCCTACTTCTCTGGTATTTATATTCTCTATTTTCAGCTTTTCCATTACTGGGACCAAATACCTGACACCCTCTACTTACAAGAAGAGAGGTTTATTTTTGCACAGTTTCAGAGGTTTCAATTTATGCTTGGTTGCCTCCAAAGTAGAAATATCGTGGAAGAAGAGAGTAATAGAGGAAAGCTGTTGACCTCATAGTGGCCAAGTATCATTGCACAGGGTAAAAGCACCAACAAGAGATACATCCTCCTAAGACACAACTCTAGTGACCTATCTCCTCCAACTACACCCCACTTTTTAACAACACATTCAGCTGTGAATATCCATAGGCTAATTAACCAATGAATATGGTGA